CAATGTAGGACTTATCAGCCATATTATACAAGCTATATAGCTATTGGCATTAGTCGAACCTTGAAGAACCCCAGCACATGGGGTTCTCGTCTTAATACATTAGTACCTTATACTGAGTGATGCAGGATGGATGAGATGTGGCAGTAAATCTATTTTTTACAGGACTATTCACAAAAGAGTGAGGGGTTTGGAGAAGGCGGAAAAAGTGAACAATCTAGGCCAAAATAGCTGATTTGGAATAATTATCCAATTCAGCTCACTTTCCAGTGTTATCAGAGATTGTTCACCTCCCCTGCCTTCTCCAAACTCTTCACCCTTTAGTGAATAGCCCTGTAAGTATGTTTGACATAATCACGGTATAGATATATCTTAAAGTGACATTAAACCCTCAGATTTTTTAACATAAAACAATACTGTAATGTGTGCCTTACTGTAATCCATGGTAGTTTCCCTTCTCTTTGCTGCTCTTCCTTTTTAATCTGTATCTGTTCTCATGCTGGGGGAGAACTTCTGTTTTGCAGCAGACTGCCTTGTCTCTGGAATGGCTACACGGTGTCTGTGTATACGTTTCTATAGGCTTGAAACCTGAGCCAGCACTACAGGAAGAGGCCCTGAGCTGAAAAGGGAAGTTCTTCCCAAGCATGAGAAGACATGAGGATTTAAAAGGAAGAGCAGCAAAGAGAAGGGAAACAACCATGGATTACAGTAAGGTACACATTACAGTATTGGTTTATGTTAAAAAATCTGAGGGTTTAATGTCACTTTAAGCATTTTTTGTGACTTTTCTGCAAAGTTTTGTATCTGGAAATCCAGTAGTTCCTGTTGCAGGCTCACAATGCTAAGACCTTAGATTGCAATTAGCAGCAATATTGTCAGCCTGCCGTGCAAGTTCCTTCAAACCTATTCAAACCCAAAAAATAAAAATGCCATACTGTATAGTGCAGGTTATCAGTGATTAAATATGTTGTCGACGTTGTTTTATTCAGGCTTTTTTCTATTTTTTTACCTGGTGATCCTGTGAATATTGCACTTCCTGTCCCAGGGTGGCTACGTGCTCTCCCCAATTTTGTCTATTGAGGGAGACATTGTTGCAATATATGCTGGACTACAAACACGTCTACCTTTGCTTGTATCCAATAAACAGGTGATTGACAGTCTATAGAATAAATATAACACGTTATTTGCTTTTAGTTCAGATCGAAGGAAGTGACAAGGACACGGCATGTCTAGTGAGATCAGCCAATATTTTCTGTAATTGCTAAAAATGGTATTACCAATAAAGGAAAATGAATGCAGCCTACCCACTGAAGCATCTATCTAATGAGCTGTAACATTTTTGTTCTTGGGTTTAGTTTTCATATCAGTTGGCCTGTTGTCTACCAATCTGATAGACCTGATAAATAGCCCAATGGCTAACTGAAGGAGTGCACATGGCAGTCTGACAGCTCTGCTGAGAACTGTGGGGTAGGGGCTTAGTGTTGTCACCCTTAAACAGGAAGCACTGTTACTGGCAGGATTTTCAGGTAAGAAACTTTGCAACAAAACTGAATTCGGTGAGACATGGGGGGTGATTTACTAACCTAAACACACGCACGCACTAGGTGCGTGTGATTTTTACACAGCAAAACGTATTTATCAACCAAAAAGTCTCTAAAAGCATATTTCCACTAATGCCATGTATAAGTGTGCGTGAGGCAGGGAGGAGGTGCAGCGTGTGGATGCGGGCGAGTCTGGCAGCAGCAAGGGTGAGGCGGGGCGGCGTGTGGATGCGGGCGGGTCTGGCAGCAGCAAGGGTGAGGACGGCCCAGTCCGCCCCTGGGTGTATACTTGTTTGTGGCGTGTTTATAAGGTTAGTAAATCAACCCCATGGTGTACAATATATTTTAGGTTTACATAGACTTTAATGTTGATGGTTGAGTGTTTATGAGAACTGATATTTATAGCCAGTTGTAGGATCACCATAGAGCTATCACACATTTTACTCTATAATCATCTGCAAACTGAGACTTATTGACAAAAGAGACAACATTAAAAACAATCTTTCTCTATTGTGTGTGAAGTCTGGCATTGTAAGACCAGACAATGTTTTCTCCCCTCACTTTTTATCATTGTGGCACCAGAAAGGAAGTGAACAGTAATACAGAGAATATAATTTTATTCCATAGTAGAGTATTAGAAGACGAGTCATTGTCCTTGCTGCAGAATTTCCCCCAATTGACTGAACTTTAATGTGATGTAGCATTTTTACATTGTGCAGCACATACCTTATGTTATACAGTATATATTATATGAAATAATGAATATATATAATATATAATGAAAACATAATATTTCCCAGGTCCATTTTTCCTCTGTTTCCTTGAATTCATGACATAAAACCGTGCAAGTATATTGAAGTATACTGACTATAGAGCCAAAGGAAATCTCACTGCTCCAATTCCTTAGCCACCATCAGGACTCCCCAGGTGCTGGTCTAATAGGTGCACCCACATGTTTCACCCACAGGCTTATTCATAGAGGTAACAAATACAGACCAGTATCTCACTTAAATGTGTTCAAAAAACTCCAGCCTACACAGATGCAGGAAGCAATGCTCGCTGATGGATAGGTTAACTTTAAACTAGCTGGTGTATAAGGGTCAGTAGAGCACAAACAAACTACCAATCCCATAATACATGTTATAATCTCCATACCAAATACAGTCAGAGATTTTAACTCAATCTTGCCAAACCGCAATCTCCCTGTCAACTGTGCAGGGTGTAAGGCAGTGCACAAAAGAGAAATATATAATATAAAATATCAAACTCTCTTGAGAATACATACAAATGTACAAGTGTATAAACAAATAAATACATACATAATCAAATAAACTATAACAAATGAGTGGCTCCTCTCACCCGAATATATGAAATATCCAATGCAAACAACATTCTCAACCTACAATGTCATATAAAAAACGATAAATATCCTACATTAAATATTCTAAATAAAGTATTGAGACATCTCATTAATTGAAATACATTGATCATTAGCATAGTCTCCTAGAACTACTATCCATCCATTAAGTAACCAATGATTAATAAAAATCTTTCTTATCATAAATGTCTTATAATAAAATGTAAATAATAAATATCATATAATATATGCTCTAAGAACATCAAATATGAGATATTATCTGGAAACTACACTACTAAGGCTAGTTTGGCGAACAGAGAAACCCACAAAAAGTAGATAACCTAGGTTTATTTAAAATACTATATTCTAAGAACCTTCAAGAAAAAGATCTTCTAACATAGGTGTCCCAGGCAATTACCCAAAACCTTCTCAATATTTCAGAGAATGCCAAAAGCACAAATGTATTATCAAGTAGACATGTGCAATTAGTTTCGTTCCGAATCGAAATCCGGCCTAAATTTTGGAAATTCGAAGATTCGGAGCATCCGAATTTCCGAAATATAACATATTCAAACTCATCCGAAAGCATCCGAGTCAGAAATTTTGAATCTGAACTTTCGAATCAGAAATTTTGGATTTGGAACAAATTTTGTCCAATTCCTGTGCGTGCACTGTTAACATTGAAACGGATAAAAACAAATTAAGAAAAGGATTTTAATGTCCCTTTAATAGTAAAGACTAGAGCACAGCAACCAGAAATTACAAATGTGCCAATTCTGCTACCCCATCTCAAGTTGAATTTTCGGGAATTTGTCCAAATCCGAAACGAATTCCGAATCAGATCCGAATACGAATACTATTCCCAAAACACGTATAGGATCCATATTCCAAACAGGAAATAAACGAAATCCGAAACTAAACAAAACAAATTTGTAGCCGCTGCACATGTCTATTATCAAGTAATAAATAAAGACCAAAATCCATCAAAACTCATAACTGTGAGTTTACTGCAGAAGAGCAAATTTCAGAAATGAATTATTTGGATTTGATCCTGATAGGGAGTGTAGAGGAAGGCAGCATATGGGTTTGTTCTTTCTCGCAAACCCATTTCCAGGAATACCTTACTTAGAGCTGTCAGTTGCCATCCAGGTCATCTAAAAAGGGCTACAGATAAAGACGACTTCTTTAAAGAGTCAAAAGACTTGGAAAGACGCCTCCTAGATAGGGAGTATTGGAATTCTCTGGATAGTGCGAAGTATACTGACTAACTTTATTTCTGTTGTGTTTCACAAGAAAACATCTTAATGAAGAATTATGGCCAGAATACAACTTTTCAGTTTTGCTACCCCTGCACTGCAAGGGTTAACTGCTAATTTTGGTCTAGGGTGTAAAATAACAAAGATATACTCACCCAATCCTTGTTTCTACCTGGCTACTAGACCTGTACCTACAGCCTCTCTTCCCCTCCCCTCCGTGGTCTAAGGACTTGTGAGTCACGACATCTAATAAAATATACTGCATTTGAGGATGTTGAGAATTCCATCATTGACGTTAAAGGGAAGAGAGGCTGTAGGAACTAGTCTAGAAACCTGGGGGAACCGAGGATCTGGTGAGTATATCTTAAGCCTTGCAGAGCGGGGGTATCCCACTGCAAGGGTGAAGTTTTATTCTGCACAGAGTTCTTCTTTAATGGTTTAACAAGAATTATATTAAAAATGCATAAACTGATTCTCTTGACTGCTTTCCCATGTTTACTTATTTCTCTTTATACCTTTTGAAATAAGCCTGTTGTGTTTAAAAGCAAAGGCTGAAATTTACACAAACACAAGAGAATAAGTCAGAAGAGTGACTCCTCCTCTTCTCAGTCCTCTCTCGTCCATACAGATCAGCCTGAGGTTAAAAACAAACAGCTGGTAGCAGGCAGCTCCTAATGTGCGCTCTCTTTAGGAAACCCATAATGACTACTGTGACTACTGAGTTAAAGTTGCCATTAACCAGACCTTGATTAATTTCAATGCAGATAGTGGGAATCTTGTCATCAATTGTTTCATAAGATCTGGAATTTATATCTGGCCTGGCAAAACCAATTTTGATTTTTTTTTTAGAGTTCACGAGAGAGAATACAAACATCTCCTGGCTTTTATGTTTGCTATTGATGAGATAAACAGCAGTCCAGATATTCTGCCCAATTTGACTCTGGGATATCATGTGTATGATTCTTGTGGAAATGTGAATAAAGCCACAAAAGATGTTCTGCAGATCTTGTCTGGACATTCCAAGACAGTTCCAAATTATTCCTGTATGGTGCGGGGTACAGTGGCTGGTTTCATCGGAGACCTCAAATCAGATACCACTCTCCAAATGGCTCAACTTTTACATCTATATGGTTACACACAGGTAAGATGTTTTGATATTGAGCAGGGAATGTTTTGAGATTGTCAAATTAAAGCTCACATCTCATTACTGGTAACATATTTAGAGGACTTTTGTTAACATTTTAGAAAAAATGTGTCCAGAAATTACAGTACAAAAACGCCAGTTAAATTCATTAATACATTCTATAAAGTCACTGTCACTCAAATTATCTTTAAAAATGTTATACTGACTTCCGGTGCCGGCGCCCGATGCTATAGGTGAACGGCTCGGAGCTCTGTCCCGCCACCTGCCCCTGCACTCTTACTGGAACATCTCCCACACACTGCCGACCACACGAAGCCTTTCGTCCACTATCCCGCCATAGATATATAACTGGCACGCCCGCCGAAAGCCCAAAGTGCTATAAAAGAGAGCACGCTAGACGGAGAGGAGGGATCCAATATGGCCGTCGACGACATGCAGCAGGAGACCAGCCCAGGCATGTTAGAGGGTGAGTCAGCTCATGCATTCTCTGCACATACAGCCATAGATTGTTCTCTGATTGCCTCAGAAGTCACTAAACATCTGAAGTCTGATATAGCCATCATTGCAGACACTTTGCAGCTGCACTTGGGAAACTTAATGCTAACATGGAAGCCCAAAATAAACATATACAAGCCATGGAGTAGCGTATAAATTATCTGGATGCTGCAGTCTCCCAGCGCTCTTAAGGTGAAAAAAGATCCTATAGAATGGACATTTTTTTGGTTTGTCTACCTGTTTTTTATGTTTCCTAACCATCACACTTGGATTGCTCACTTCATCAGTGTACCTGATGTGTCTCTAATGGACCGGAGACCTGCTCCATTTTTCAATTGGTCACTTTTTGTATCTTTTTGTATCTTTTTCGCTTGAAGCCTTATCAGACGGAACTAAGATCCTAGGTCTCTTTGGGAGCACTGGGACACCTGTAAGTGCCCACCATTACTTTTAGGCATTTCTACACACCGCCACTGTTAATATGGGACCCACCTTGAACATAGTTACCTGGAACGTTAAGGGACTGAGATCACCGACCACCGACATCAAATTATACGCCATCTCAAAAAGCTCAAGGTAGACATTGCTCTTCACCAGGAAACCCATCTATGTGTGACAATGCGACTGATAATGCTGCACATGTCTCTGATCCTGTCCTGTTCTGGGAAACAGCAAAGGCGGTTCTACAAGGTAGAATATTAGTGTAAGAAACTTACCGGTTTCCGTCCCGGGATCGCGATCCGGGACCGCGCATGCGCTCAACGGGCCAGGCTCTCTCCACTCGGCGCATGCGCACGTCGGGCATCGGCTCCACCTGGCGCAGGTGCAGGAGGCCTTTTAAGACGCGGCCAAACAAATATTCGGCGTCCTACTGTTTGCAACAGTGAACGCCGAAGATTCACACTCTGCAACCGCAGACCGTTCAGGCGGACCCAGATCAGCATCGCTGCAACACCACACCATGGGCGAACCCCACACTGAAAGAGCGCCTCTTAACTATAGACACCCGGACCTGGAGAAGTGATACCTGGGAGCCAGCTACCACTCAGCCACAGGAAACTATAGGAGTGACATCAGCTAGAGGCTCCGTAATCGCAAGTATCTGGGGCAATACTGCCATTACTGATAACATTGTGAATTGCAAAGCTTGGTCTAATCAAACCACATTTAACCAACTGAGTGTGTACATATATGACTGTTATATCAAGACTGCCAAAACGTGATGTTATACAGGTGATGCAGGTGACAATCTAAAGGAACAGTGCAGAGGCGGCTCTAGACTTTGCGAGGCCTTAGGCGAAACTCAAATGTGAGGCCCCACTTACACCTATCATGAAAAAATTAAAATTGAACTGTGATCATAAGGGACGGGAGAGGGAGGCGGATGTCCAGGGCCGTTGAAAAGATTTTGTCTACACATGTCAAACCCCCCTTCCCGGCATCCTCAGCTTTTTGCTAGATCCAACCCTGGTCCTGTTTCACCCAGGAGGTGAGCCGATAGAGCTTACACTCTAATAGGGAATGGCACCGGCTGTTGGAGGGACTACAAATCCCAGCAATACATTATGCAGCAATGCAGAACTGTATATAAATCGGACACTGCGCGTAGCAACGCCCTGGACCTTGCACCTAGCAACGCACTGGATCCTGCACCTAGCAACGCACTGGACCCTGCACCTAGCAACGCACAGGACCCCGGACCTAGCAACGCACAGGACCCCGCACCTAGCAATGCACTGGACCCCGCACCTAGCAACGCACTGGACCCTGCACCTAGCAACACACTGGACCCCGCACATAGCAACGCACTGGACCCTGCACATAGCAACGCTCTGGACCCTGCACATAGCAACACACTAGACATAGCAACTCACTGGACTCTGCTCGTAGCAA